ATTTATTTTTGGCACTTGTACATACATACACGCAGTTTGTCAAGAGTCCTTCTTGGAGAGCAGGAAAACTCTGCTCTGAGTAATTGAAACAAAATGATGATATGCATGCTATAATAGCTAAGGCTTGGGGTGTTATGAATCACCCTCTGGAAACCTCTGGAACTGTCAGGAACAGGGCAGGACAGGACAAGGCAGACAAGGAACTGAGAGGAGTGATGATTGTATTGGAATCAATAATTCACTTGAGGGATGGGACAGGTCCCCCATCCCCCTTTTATACCTTTTGAGAGTCTTCCTTGTCAAGACTCAAAGAAAGTTCCAGAAAGAGCAATTAGTAATACAATGATACCAATGATACCAATGACAACAAGACAAGTCAGGAAAGCAAAGAAGGTTCCAGAAGGTTCCACAAGGTTCCATGAAGGAATGTTCTAGAAGGTTCCAGAAGGTTCCAGAAGGTTCCATGAAGGAATGTTCTAGAAGGTTCCAGAGGTTTCCAGAGGGTGATTCATAACAGGAACCTTCTAGAACATTCCTTCATGGAACCTTCTGGAACCTTCTGGAACCTTCTAGAACATTCCTTCATGGAACCTTGTGGAACCTTCTGGAACCTTCTTTGCTTTCCTGACTTGTCTTGTTGTCATTGGTATCATTGGTATCATTGTATTACTAATTGCTCTTTCTGGAACTTTCTTTGAGTCTTGACAAGGAAGACTCTCAAAAGGTATAAAAGGGGGATGGGGGACCTGTCCCATCCCTCAAGTGAATTATTGTTTCCAATACAATCATCACTCCTCTCAGTTCCTTGTCTGCCTTGTCCTGTCCTGCCCTGTTCCTGACATGGGGGTTTGGCTAACCCAACAGGTTCACTGTTGCTTAACAGGCTGGTTTTAGCGGGGCACAGCCTGCAGAATCAAACAAAACCTCGGCAGAACGTTTTGGTGGCTTTAAAGTTTCCTCTAATGCACATTAACCAGAAAAAATTCCAGGCAGAATGATTGGAATGTGAATCCTTGTAAGCCAAACACCCAAGCTGTAATAACAGTCACTGGGAGAGCGTAACCAACCCATAATCATCTGCTTGGCAGAAGAGGTGGAAAACTGTTTACACTGGGTTTCTGTTCCACTACATACCATGGGTTCCTATAATCGAATTACCAATTGAATTTCTTTCTTCCAATTAATGAGGGAGCCAGTTCAATTATTGGAAAAATTGGAACAACAATTGGGAATGATTTAAGAAGGACAGATCACTGACAAGGTCTTATGGTGAGGGCAGCCTCCTTTCCACCCACTGTTTTTGCCTTTCAGCCAAAGTTTCCTCTGGAGGCCTTTGCGAAAAAAATTACTCTGATGTGGCATTTCCCACCAAACAATTGATTTTTCAGAACCACTGCTACATACTCAGACTACTATTTAAGGCTGTCATCCAAAAAGGCGGGTAGCAGATAGCCCCTTACATGTGCTTCTCATTATCCTGGTTTTCTTGCAGACATGAAGCAGATACAGATATCCAATCTCTGTGCTTCTTATTAAGTTTACTCAGAAATTTTCTACTATGCAGACTAAATATTCAGACTAATTGTCAAGCTTCCTGCTCTAATTCCATTGTACAGTTGGGGGGAAAAAAGTGCAAAAAGTTCCAGCGTCCTTCACAGAAGCCCAATATACAAAACTTTCCCAGTTCTCAATCTTTTGATGCCAAACTTTGAGCACAATTAGGAATTTGGTGGAGTGATATGCTGCTAAAAAATTTTATGAAGTTTGCAGCAGCTCAGTCCCCAGATAATAGCAATCAAATAGGAAAACACTGGGAATAGACAGACCCTCTTGAGTTGCTCTCTTTGAGCAGTTTGCACGAAAATGCCTCAACAGGAGCTGATTGATAGCGCATCATTTTTCAAATACCAAGTGTGACCCTGAATACACTGTGTGATTTTCAGCAGCAAAAGAAGCTGGAGCAACCAGATAACTTGCAAACAAGCAATTTCTAGACTCAAATACCTTCCCATTTGAAGCCTCTTTAGAGACGCTGCTGAAGAAGATAGGCGCTTGTGAAACATTTTGGTGAATAAGTTGCAAGCTTCGTGTGATCAGAGGTTTTTTTTGAACCAATAAGCAATAAGTTTGCAAGTTTTGCTGTGAATGACTTCTCCAACTTCTGGAGCTGCTGGAAAATGCCACAGTCCATTTCATCATATCAAAGCTATGTATGTGGTGATCTGTTTCAGATTGTTTACCAGTACTACTGGTTTGCAGTGTGCAAAGTGCGTAAATCAGATTAGGAAGAGTGAAAACTGACAGGCAGTTCATTTCCAAAATTTTCACGTAAAATTCCTATTATCAGGAGAATGAGCCACAGACGTCTCATCAAAATTCTCTAATGTATTTGACTACTAGTGCCCTATCAGTGTACAAAATCTCCTAACAAAATATTGGAAACTGACAGAGTTCTCTGCCATGGACTTCTGTCTGAGAATTCAGAAAATTCAGGAGTGTCTGAAGACTTTTTTCCCTCCTCTGTACTTCACTATGTTTGATAGTGAGAAGAGCTCTAGGGTCTGCTGCAGACCGAATCAGGCTGGACTTTGAGGAAATTTTATAGTTCAATTTTTGAATTCGATTCAATTAAACTTCATTAATAGACATTTTGTATTTTATTCAAAGTTGGCAAAATTTGATGTAAAATTAGCAATATGTCAAATTCAAATGTCCGTCAACAGCAAGAAAATTGGTGTTTGGGTCCAAAACATTGAATCAAGTTGGGGCAGGCCCATCTCCATTTGGTGTGTGGCAGACTGTAAAGAGCTCCCTTTGGCTCTTGAGTCGTGTCTGAGTAACTTGAGTGCCCCTTGTTTATATGCTTACACAATCTTATAAATGCTTCTTTTCAATAATTTTTTCTTTCTTGTCAGTGTCGCCTTGTCATTAATTTTTAATTCTTCCATCATTTCATTTTTCTCTCAGAAACACACATCTCCACTTCATTCACTCCTTCCACTACCTCACTCAGAGTGGACTGTTTGCACTTCAAACAGTTTTCTTCCTTTCTTCCTGCTTTTTTTTCTTCTTTCTTTCCTAATTCCCCCCCTCCCTATAAATAGCTGCCCTGGGGGGAGCACCCTCATTAATCTCACCTAACTTTACAAACCCACCCTTCAATAAATGCCATCTCTAAGAAATTCAATTGTGTTCTTCTGAAATCCCCTTCCGTTCTACCCAATGAGCCTCCTCTGAACCTTCTATAACACAAGTTGAGCTGCCTGTCATTGGGTTGGATTCTTTGAACTTGTGCGGAGCTGGTACGCCAGTCCTGCTTGTGGTTAGACCTTATGTCGCCCAGGAGAGTAACCATATGCCACCATATTATGAAATAGGCACTTGAAATAGTTAAAACTCAAAACTGCTTTTCTTTTAGTCAGCGTTGGCAAAAAAGGGATCTGAAATCTGGCCTGCTGCAGGTAGTGGACTTAAATTTACTTGTCGCTTATGGTACAGCCTGGTTAGCTCAATTGGTAGAGCGTGTGACTCTTAGCTAACCCGAGAAAGGGTCTCTGCAATCACAAGGCTGTGGGTTCGACCCCCACATTGGGCGCTCCCTTGTGCATCTTTGGACCCATCAGCACTCTCTGCTATGCTTCCTTTCTGGCCAGAATATTGAAAACATTGTGCTTTACACCCAAGTTCAACCACACCACAGAAAAGCTGTGTTCTGATTGAAGAGGGTGCTGAGGCGGTGTGGTTGCTCACTGGCCCCTCCCTCCAATTAAGAATGTGCCTTGTCACACTTCAAATTAAAACATATCGTGATATTTTCTAATTAATTGTTTAACAAACCCTGCATCTACAAAGCGGCTGGTTCTCTTTTTGAAAATCTTTTTTAAATTTTTTGGACAAGGAGCTTTAACTTTAATTACTGTATTCAAAAGTGATTTATCAATGATATGTATGGGTTTGAAACCTTAGTCACACTTACAAAAATTCTGTGTGGTTCTATTTACGACAAAATTTTGCACACTTTGGCTGGCATATGGGTGGTTGTCAGTCAGTTTCATGCAAAAATGCACAATACTGCAATTGGTAGGAATGTTGAATATTGCTGTTTCCATTGAAAAGTCATTGTTGCAATGAAAGAAAAGCATTGCTACAAACCAGAGTCAGACCGCCCAACAGGGTGGTAAAATGGGGGCTGCATTTATCTGTTTCAAGATACCTTGAAAAGTTGGTGAAAAGTTTGGAGGCCGCATGCAACTGACCAGAAAGAGGAAAAAGGAAAAAAAAAGGAAGACACTTTTTTTGTTTCTGTACAATTTATGGTAAAACGGGAAAGGCAATGAATTGTTCCCAATGAAAACGGAAAAGCATTTGGGGAAAGGGTCTGGACCGACTATGCAAATTTCCCCCTACCCCCCCCTCCCAACTGTCGGATCACTTCATTTCGAGAGGACATTACCTAGTGCAACAGCAATTCCATGTTGATTTGGTGCTGCTCTATGGGGAAAACCTTGCCACAGGATGAATTCAAAATGTCCAAAAATTAGTGGAAAGAATAAGACAAGCCCAGGAACAGCAAAGCTCTTTCGTTTTAATCTTTGACCCTCCAAAATGACAAACGCCCTGACTTTTTGTTTATGTGGGTGTGGCAGGAATGTGTGGCAGAAAAAAGAGGTTACTAGTTTTTCTCTTTCTCTCCAAGTTGGGGAGATTATCCATAACAGAGTTTTCTCTTTTCTCTCCAATTTGGGGAGAAGGACTACCAACAAGCACATCTCCACTTCATTCACTCCTTCCACTTGCCACTCAGAGTAGACTGTTTACACATGTGATAAAGCCTGTTGGTCAAGTCAAGTGGATGTGGCTGTGGGCAGTTGGGTGTGGTGCATTCTCGATTGCTTGTGTTTCCATGCACAAGTTCCCAGCTGGTGGCCTTCCAATCCCTACATGGTCTGCTCACTTCTCTCTTTCCCCCCCACAATCTGCCCATTGCAGACAGAGTGACACGAGCGTGCCAGGGGTCAAACCTGGAATCTCTTGATTCGTAGTCAAGCGGTAACCATTTTGCCACACGCCCACATTAGCGCCTTTGGCTTGTATGCTTCCATCGCTATCTTAGGACTTTCAAACGCATGACTCTTTAAGTCAAATCAACCTCTCAGCACTAAAATGCAATTCCAGTTACCCCAATCCCATTCCCAAGATCTTCTGCAGTATGAAATACAGAGCCCCTGCTGCATCAGGTCCAGAGAAGCATAATCCAAGATCCTGATCAAAGGGGAATATCTGTATCCTCTTTAAAACACAGGCACGTACAGATGAGGCAGATATGAGCTTGTTTTTTTTTTTTTTTTTTTTTTTTTTGCTCAGATATGGGTGGATTCCCAGGCAAAATGGATATCCAGTACGTATGTTTTATTGCTGCACGCGTGGCATACAAGCTAACTTTGGCCAGGCCTCCCACATCTGCAAGGGCAGCTGCATTCTGGTGCTTTGGGGCTAACTGCACCCAACTAGCTCCATCCAAAAAGAGCAGATCTAACCTGCCACCCACACAACTTTATACGCAACTAAGGCAATAACTGCAACAGAGGAGCCGAGCATGCAACACTCTGTCTGACAACGGCAGGACTTGAACCTGCGCACGGAAACCGTAACAGATTTCTAGTCTGTCGCCTTAACCGCTCGGCCACATTGTCTGTGCCTCCTGTCCAATAGGCCACTTTCAATTGGTACTTACCAGTGCCACTTGCAGGCAGCTCCAAACCTGGATGTGCAGCAGCAGCCTGATATTGCACTGATCCACAGACAACTTCAGTCCCTGGCTTTGGCTTGCCAATGGCCCAACACAAAATTTAAATCATCCAAAAAGGTGATTCTCCTGGTTTGTTTTCATGAAAAGAAATGGTGCCAAGTTGGAAAGCACCAGCTTGCCTGAGTGTGCTTGTGCTTTTTGTCAGTTTGGGAATTTTAAGTGGCAGAGGAGGAAGGGGTGTCCAAAACTTTGAGCTCATAGAGAGCGTCCCTGTCAGCTCAAGGAGGATTTCTGTTGCTGCATCACTGCTGCTTTGCCATTGCATTTGCCACAACACCATTGCATCCTGCTTGATTGCCGCCACACACAGTGCTGCTTCCTCACGCCCAGCTGTCAAGCCCCACACTTTGTCTCAACCTGTTCTCCAGAGGGATTGTCCTGGAGCGCCACGCTCCATGGTCTGCCAGGAGAAGTAGGAGATTCTCACACCTATGCCAGAGAGTGCATGCAACAGGTCCAGATGAGACTGATTCAGAGGTGGCTTTATATTTCCTGCTTCTAAAGCAGGCACCTGAGTAAGGATCCATGGGGCATGCCTGGTGAAATACTGCAGAGGTGGGTTGATTGTGGGATGGACAGGGTCTGAAATTTGCACCAACAATCACTTTTCCTGTTTGTTCATCCACGTCAACTGGCTTGCGTGATGGAGTATTCAATTTCTAACAAAATCAGATCCTAGGAAAAAAGCACAGAAACAATTTGAAGTGACTTAGCAGAAAAAAAGCAGCCAGTGGCAGTCAAGTGAAAGCCAAGCCAGTCCAGGACTGGAGTCTGAGCCTGGAAGTGGAAGCTCTGTCCAGCAAGTGAAGTCCAACTGATGGCTCCCAGACGGGGAATCGAGCCCCGATCGCCGCCGTGAAAGGGCGGAATCTTGACCATTAGACAATCTGGGGATAGCAAAAGCTAACAAAACTTGCATCCTGATTGCGTGGCATGAGGAGAACCCTCCAGCCATGTTCCACTAAAACAAGTGAGAAAATGGCAGGCACACAACAAGACATGCAGTGCACCCACTTGTGCGATGGCTCTGGTGGCTTAGTTGGTTAAAGCGTCGGTCTCATACATGACACACCTGGTTGCACAGGTGCTCCTCCACACAGTCATCCGAAGGTCGTGAGTTTGACTCTCACCCAGAGCACCCCATTCCCTTCCACTGGCTGGTCGGAGCACTTTCTCCTTCAAGGAGAAATGGCAATTCTGTACAGACATATGGTGGGAAGATTGTTCTCCTGGTGAGGCACACTGGGGAGCACAGGGGAGGTGCTCACACTGCCGCTCCTCTGCTGGGCTCTGGGTCAGCGCACAGATTTGGCTGTGCCATCACCACTGAGCTACTACACAACTCAACACCGTTAAGGCCCTCTTTGTCACAAATAGCGAAATTGTATTGATTTTGGAACCTGAGCTGCTCCACCTCCATCCTCAGTAGAGCTCCTCATTCTGACTCCAAGGACCTTCTGTTGATTCCAGTTTGTTGTTTGCACGACTTTGGCACTGGTGGCATTGGCCATTTGTCAAACCTGTATGAACAAGCGCTTTTGAGCTCCTAACTATGGGTGGGATGGCTGGCTAAAGTGCTGCCAATGGTGGCAAACATTGGAAGGAACGTGATGCTTGGCGTTGGTTGGCAACAGGATGTGTACTGCAACAACAACCCCAGGAGATAGCATCAGCCCCGGGTTCAATTCCTGGTCAGCGCAATGGCTAGTCAAAGCTGCTTTTACTGATTGCGCTCACAATGAAGATCTTCATGAGGTTGGTGTTACTGTGCTGACAGTGATTGTTGTGTCTGATCACATAGTTTGCCTTTGTTTACGCACCTATGTTGTTTGCTTATTCCTTCAGTCAAGCTGCTTTTAAATATTCTTGTGGCTGGTAGAGTTTGATGCATGATTGGCTGCAGCCATCTTGCAGAGATGTGTTGTGCAAGTGCTGCAACTGATCCACACACCAATCAAATTTCTTGTAAGCAAAGGACGCTGGTGGGGCCATGGAATGAGGGCTCTTTCTGGGACCCTGGTGTTCTTCCAGCAACACTGCAAAGAAACTTTTTCTCCAGTACCTATAACTAGATTTAGTGATGAATGTGAAACGACATCAACACATCCAGCGCAACAGTGGTTCAGTGGTAGAATTATCGCCTGCCACTCTCATTGTTGATGAAAAAGGTTGCAGTGTTGGGGAAAAAAAAAGGGAAAGGAAAAGCATTTGTAAGGACAAAAATGGAAGTACAATCCTCTTCTACAGCAGGGGAATTTGCTCAGCCATACCATTGTTCTGAATCGCAGGAATAGTGCCTGCATGACTTAATCTCCCTCTTTTACAATACTGGCAGTGGCAAGTCCTGGATTCCTGGATTATCCAAGGCTCAAGCTCATACACGTGCCAGCACTGCTGTACAGCAACTGGATGATTGGGCTAAAGCAGGTTGCCCTTGAAAATTGCCCCTCAGAATAATCTGAGGATCAGTTAGGAGGGCAAAGTTGCAAGCCATCCAGTTGCGTGCTCACCACAGAAACTCTCAACTCTACTCCCAGTCCGGGAATTGAACCCGGGTCTACCCCGTGACAGGGGGTGATACTAGCCACTATACTAACTGGGACTGCACTATTCCCTCACACTTGTATTTACAATGTCTATAGAGATTTTAGGATCTCAGGTTTCTGTAAAATTTTCCAACCAACAGCTGAAGCCCTTGTTGCCAATAGCCCACTTCATGCCCTGTTGGAAATTACTTCTTGATTGGCTGGCTCCACTTATCATGTGAGGTCCCTTTCAAGGTGCTGGAACCCTAACCCCAAACAAAGGATATCTGTAATGCTCCAGTGGCGCTATGGCACCCATCATTTGGGTGTGACAGATATGTGGTACAATAAGAATCCAGTGTTTGTCTCATGATCAGTTTAGGATACTGATATCCCTGCACACACCATGCTTATCAGCTCTGTTGACCTTTAGGGTTGATTCTGCAAAAAGCAGAAACAAGGTATCTATCATGGAAAACCATTGTGCAGTTTGCTGAAATTTGTTTTGTGTTGCCAACACCCACACAGCCACAACCAAGAACACCTTTGGGCTGGCCTTTTCATGTTAGACAGAACTGACTGGTTAGCAGCAAGAGGCACAAGACAGACCTTGAACCTATTGTGGCTGTCAGTTATTGTGATACACTGGCTTGCACTGTTGACAAAGACTCCGAGTATAGTGGAGCAGAAACCCAGTGAAAACAGTTTTCCACCTCCTCCTCTCAAGCAGATAGTGTCCCTGCTACGTAAGAACGTAAGACACAAATGCATTGGTTGGATAAGGGTCAACATAGCATTGCAAAAGCGCAATCTCCGTAGCACCTACTGACTACTGATGGTTGTCAGCATGGACACCCTTAGCAACGTTGAATCAATTCCGTGATGTTATCACTCCACTGGTTCCTCTGAATTGGATTTTTTTTTCAGGATTATATCAGGAAATGGACCCTTTTGACCTAACCTAACTGAGCCCCCAAGCCTTAAACTACACACCTTTGTTGTCAACTGCATGACCATTCTTGGCATTTGACGTATATCCAGCTGCACAGCCAATTGCTACGGCCCATGCCCTCCTGTGAGGACGACAGGCTGTCGAGCCTGTGACCTCAAATAAATTAAGTGTATACCCACTTTTTAACTGGTAATTGTGAGGATTACCACCCCGTCTCGACCTGCGTTTTGCTGGCAAAACGTGACTAGGCTTGGATTCCTACTACCTTATTATTTATTGGGTTTCCATACGGCCTCCGACTGGCTCTGTATGTCTGCCTCTGAGCTCTACTATTATTACTTATTATTGGCGATGTTGCAGACAGAAAGACTCAGTCTTGATTCTAATTGCTGACACAAGGCTCCCTTGCTCAGTGGTTAGAGCGCTCCCTTCAATTGGGAAGGTGCCAAGTTCGAGACATGCTAGTTGACAGACTGGGCAGAAATGCAAAGTCCTACTATGCCTGGCCAATGGCCCCTCACTTTTGGAAATGACTTAGGACTGAAACACTTCTGTGGGAGAAGTGCTAAGCCCAGATGGACAGAGTTAACAAGATGATGGCAGAGCTAACAAGCCCTACCACCTGCTACCATGATGTAATGCCTCATAAAAAGGGTATGAGATCACAGGGTTTTTCTTTATCTTTTCATTGGTGATTTTTACTTATTTTTCCAATTAGTAATTTATCCTGTTTTTCCGGTTTTCCTGTTTTCTCTTTTATTTATTCCTTGTTGTCTCTGTCTGTG